TTCGGTTCCATTCGTTTACTGTCTTTCACCAGACGGTATTCTTCCTCTTTCAAACGATCGTATTGCATCGCGTCAACCTCGCGCATTTCGTTCTTCAGCTCGTCTTTCGTCATCCGGAACCTGGCTTTTCCGGTGCTTGCCTGCAGTCGTTCGTAAGCTTTGCACATCTTGATTTTGGAGGCCAGTTGGCCGGCACACATTCCGGATTCCACCGCCTGCTGTATGCGTCGACGTTCGTCCGAAACTTTCTCCTCACATCTGTTCTCCATGGCTGCAAGATTTCTCAAAGCTTCCACCCGCTTGAATTCGTACCGACGATGACGACGGCTTGCTGGGAACATTTTTTCCCCTTTCTTTCGAGTAGTTCTCGTATATACATGAGTACGCAAAACAAAACAACAAACTGACGGGAAAAAAATGAAGAGGATCGCCGCTTTGATCGCGGCGATGGTCGTTTTCGCGGCCGTCTTGTACGGAGTCATCGATCGGTCCGAATGGGACGGCGAAACGTTCGGAAGCCCGAAAAAAAGCTACAAAGAGTTGCTGACGGCCAACATCGTGCTATTCGTCATAACTTTCTACTCGGGACTCAAGTTTCCTCTCATAAGATATCTGTCTTACTTCTACGGCGGTAGCGGCCGGTTGCTGTTCGTCACCGAATCCGTCGTCCGCATAACCGTACTGCTGGGATTGGATTACAGAGTGCAGAACCTGGTTGTGTCGCAGCTGTCATCGCGTCTGGCCATCCTCTTCGCCGATCTCATGGCCATCGTCATCGAATCCGCTATGACGCAGTATCCGTACGACGTTCGGTGAGTCGAACGGCACCGGCCCGTGATAAATCCACGCTACGCACGACTCGACCGCCTGCTCGTACTTGAACGACAGCACTCGCTCACCCCTCTTCATTAGAAACCTGTTGTCGTCGTACAGAAAGCAGAGACCGTCTCCGCCGGGCAAGCCGTCAACGTCGCATCGATTCATCTATGGGCAGCCACCCGAAACGGGCATGGCTGCAAAAATGTGCCAGGTCAATAAACACTTGTACAAACACGTTATTTTGTCCATCGTATTACTTTTCAAAGTTACGCGCCCCAAACCGTCCACGTACTCGCAGACGCTTTCGGCCGGCACGTTGCATGCTTCCATCCACGTCCTGAACGCCACCTCGTATCTGGTGTTCTTCGGGTCGATCACCGAGCACGGATCCACCACCATCCTGAAAAATGAGTTCTTCGCCGACTTGCGCTGTTCGCGTTTGTCCGGGTTGGCAAGCATGGATTCCAACAGGTTACGACTCCACCTTTCGTCCGATTCTTCGAACGTGTCGTACCGACGCGACGCAATGTTCGATCGTCTTTCGGCGTAAGAAACCAATTTGGCAAGCGCTGCGATGCACCCCAGGCTGATCGTCTTCGGAGCGGACGCGAACCGTACGCATGACTCCACGTACTTGATTTCTTTTTCGATTTCCCTGCGCAATTTCTCCGCCGCCGTCTTTACTCGTCTATCTCGACGTTTCACCAAACCGAACTCGTCGCGCTCGTCGTCGCCNCGCCGTCGTTGTCCTTTGCCACGTCCGAATGGCCGCGCGCGAACGGACGTGGAAACACCACCATCCTGCTCTCGTCTTTTTCGTCGTAGTCGTCGTCTTCGTTGCGGTTTTCCTCATCTTCTTCAGTCTCTACGGTGGACACGAGATGGTGACATTCGTCGTCAGATTGCTCTCTCTTGCATCAGAAACATATGTAACCTACCGGGGGACAGCAACCTATCGGCATCGCGGGTAACGTTCCCATGACGACGGCGAATCTCCACAAAACCGATAAACTTGCGATTATCTCTTCGGAATGCACGCTCGACCACGCGAACATCACTTTGCATCGCATGCTTCCGTCCATATCTGTCATCGTGCAGCATTCCGAGGATACGGTCGTATTCGAATCGGCGTCGGTCAGACGATCGACGAGCAAAAGGCACCGAGCAAACAACGAGAGCTCGCGATCGTCCGAATTGCATTCGTCGATGCACGTCTTTCTCGTATCTACATGAGTACGCAAAACAACACCACAACC